TTGATGAGGTCGTGCGCAGACTCGAAGAAGCTCGTCCTTGGCGGTGCGACGTGTTGTTGGTCTCGCTCCAGCTCGTGGCCCGCAGTGACCTTTGTGCCTGAGGTCTGCGGGATCTCGTCAAAGTTGATCGTCTGGCTGCGCTTGTAAATCTTGTTTTGCTTGTTGGACAAGCTGGGCGTCTTTTGTTGTGTCTTGGCCTGCGTCTGCTCTCCGCCCTTGAACAGGGAGAAGAAGCCGGCAAACGGGCCGCTGTTTGTATCCTTGGCACCCTCGGGGCCGCTCTCGTTGAACGGCGTGGGCACCGACCGCAGACTCGCTCGGTCATCTTCGACCATGGCATTTTGTGGTGGCTGCGGCACTTCAACAGCATCCGTCGGTGCCGTAGGTGTGATATTCCCAGAGTGGTCGTCCGACACCTCTTCCTCATCTGGTGGCAGGAATGCGCTAGATCTCCTCGGTGTCGGTGCCAGACTGCCGCCCGTCAACTCAGCCCAGCCAGCCCCTACCAAGGTCTCAACCAAGCCAGCCTCGCGCCGTGCCTTTTCCACACGTCCTAGTCCTTGCCAATCCAGGAACAAGAGACAACTCGTCCTCAGCGGCACGATGCCGTCGTTGACAACGTTGGAGTAGACAGTGCGGTTGCGGAACTTCTTGAGCGCGGTATGCGCTGGGCCCGTCGGCAGAATCCGCAGCAGAGGCTTCGACTCGGGCTGCACCTCGCCCATGACCCTCTTGTGTGCGCTCTCGCCTAGGTTGCTGACGATGGCTCCCCACCCGCTCCTCGCAATGGTGGGCGCTCGCCACGTGAGACCGAGATCCTGACCCGTCCTGCCGACCAGGCCAAAGTCGAGGGCGAATTTGACGTACAGAGGGTTTTCGTTGCTGAGGCCGAGGAAGGGTGTGGCGAGGGCGACAAAGTTGATTGGTTTGATGATGGTAAAGAATTCGGGCGAGTGTTTTTGTATGTATGCAACGGCGTATGTCTGAATCAAACCCCCAAGGGAATGCCCAATGAAACTGATGCTGGTAATCTTGAATGGACGCTTCTCGTCCGACTCCTTTTCGTGTATCGTGCTGTGCTTGTGGGCCGCCTTGCTGCTGTCTGAATCTGGCTTGTTGAAAACGGCAGAGACGGCGGACTCTGCGTGTCCCTTCTTTGAGGGCAAGAATGGCTGGTCGGGGTACGACATGGACAGGATGTACCTAGCCAGTCTCTTACCCAGGTACTTGATACCCCTTTCAGTCTTTGTTGCGTTGCCCGAGAAGCCACGCACAATGACCTCTTCGTCGTCCCCATCGTCTTCTGCAGGGCTATCATCTTGGGCTTTGTCTTCCCCCTTGTCCGTCTTGTCGCCGCGCTCCTTGGCACGCCGGGCCTTGGCATCAATCTTTGCTTGTGCTACCGTCTGGTCAATGCTCTCTTTCAGGTATAACATATCCGCGCCCAGGTTGCTGTGCAGGCCATGGGTGAGGACAACCAGGTGCACCTTTTTCTGCTTGATTTCGGGCTTTTCCTCCGTCTGCCTGTCCTGGTTGACGACGCTCTCCACGGGCTGGTCCTTTTTCGCGCGGCTCTTGAGGCGGTCAATGTTGAGGTCGTCCCAGCCCGGAAGCCGCGGGGTGTTCCACAACGCGGCCGTGTCCTCGACCTTGAGCCGTATCGCCTTGGAGAAGACGCCCTTCGGCTGCGCCGGATGATGGCCGTCCTTGGCGCCTATGCTCTGCTGGTGGTCTGCGACTTTGCCGGGCTGCGGGACCTGCGCCTGGCCGCCGATGACTGGCAGCGACGAGCTGAGGTTGAGCGACTTGGCATCCCTCGCAATGGTCACCTCGTACCCGACGGCGGCCGAGGTGGAGAAGATGACCTGCGACGACACCTCGACGATCCACGAGGCGCACTCGGTCTCGGTTTCCCCGGGTGCCCCGGATGCCCCGCCGCCGCCGCCGAAATGTGCGCCACCTCCGGTACCCGCGCTCTGCCTTATGTGTTCCGGCACGACCAGCTCGCATTCCCACGAGCCGCCGGCCTTGAGCATGGGTTCAAATTCGGGCACGCCATAGCGGCGCGGGTTCGCAAACTTGACGTTGGGGTTGAAGTTGGACGGGTAGGCGGCGGCGCCCAGCGTATAGGGACCATGAACGAAGGCGGCGCGCAGGGCAATGGCCGAGGTGTTGCGGACGCGCAGGTAGAGGCGCTCGGGCGAGGGCAGGATTCGGTCCTGAGAGGGCGTGTAGGTGACGGTGTAGCGGACGACCTCTCCGATTTTGACGCTCCCGACCTGGTATACGAGGAGCATTGTGCCGGGGGGTGGGGGAGGTTGTCTACTTTTGGTTCGTTGTCGACGCCGTCATCTCTGGGTGATTCGAATCGGGGGGAGGGAGGAGTTTCGACAAAGGGTTATGGGCGAAGAAGTTGAGAATCGCACGGTTGGAGCTCGGGATATTTTAATACGTGCTAAAGCCGGAATCGCGTGAATCGTCTTGCATTCGGAGGCAAGGGTTGAAGAAAATTCGAGAGGGCATGTGAGGTGTAACCCGAGGTAGGAGGATTCGGAGTGACAAAGTACGAATACGTGCGGTCGTACCCAAGGTAATGGAGGGTGTACTTTGTAGACTTTGTAGACTTTGTAGGTGAGTGTAGGTAAGATGGGGAAAGGAGAAAGACGATGGGGGAGAAACACGGAGCTTGCGGTTGGATGGCCCTGTGCCCCCCGGATGGTACAGCTGGCACAAGGTAAGGTACGTTATATTGGGTTCCAGGTTGAACGCGCAAAGTAAAGGTAGGGCGAAGCTTTGCATAAGGTAGAATGTCGAATTCCCCGACGAGAGCGGCCAGCAAGATGCAGCGAGCAGCCCGAGAGCGATGGCGCCGATGGGCAAAAAGAGAGCACGAGGGATCCGGCAGACCAGGGACAGGGGTGGGGGGAAGGCTTGGGTGCCACCGGTGCGTGGGTGCTTCGGTTTGGGTGCCCGCTAAAGAGCATACAGCACGCACAGACAATGTCAACGTCATTGGGCGAGGGCGAACGAAGCCTTTTCGGCAGCCCTGGGTACCCCCCCCCCCTTCCTCCCGTCCCAGTTCTTCATCTTCCCCGTCAGTCCATTAACAACAAGCGAGTGCTAAGCTTTTAGGTAACTTTTGGCAGCCGCACTCATACAAGAGATACCTCGTCCACAACCCCGCCATGCCCGCCTCAAGTTGCAACTCTCCGAGATCCACGAGTCCACCTCACGAGGGCTCACAGTCACACAGTGCTGTACACTCTCGTCGCCTCATTACACAGCAGGGTTCCTCCTCGCAAAGCTCCCGATGAAATCCAGGTCATCGAGTACACTTTTACGCGATCCGATCTGTGAGGATTTGTGAGAAGGATAACGTACACATGAGTAGACGGGTTTATGTGTGAGAGGGATGAGCTGTACATGAGGAGACAGGCTCATGTGTAAAAGTCTCACCCAAGCCTTCACTCTCAAATCATGCCCCGACTCATGACAACCAAAAGTTGAAAATGCCATACTTGCCTCGACACAGATTCTCACCCAGTCCAAACCCCCCGCCAAGGCCGCAAGCACAAAAGATCAGTCCAGCCTAAAACCCCACCGTCTGGGGCCTTACGCTACACATCAGTCTACTGCGTACAGCTGCCAGCACCCAGTTGGAGCCTTGGAGGTTCACGTAAGAGGCCGTTCCTTACCGGGGTGAACCACGCCAGACTCTCATCGATGGAACATCGGATCGAGATGTCCATTGGTGGGGGGTCTCATCCATCTTCCAACGCTGCCCCAAACTCTGTTATGTACTCAACCACTGAATCTCACAGAGTTGACAGATCTACAGAGTCCTGTGTACGGCTGAGATCAAAAGCATGAGGAAATCTGACGTACCGTACCACTCACATCACCTTACTAAACCAACCACCTCATGCTTTCCACCACGGACGTGCGCTCTCTCCTATGCGAGCAACGTCGGCTGAATGCAACGATAGGGTAACAACACATCTCATCCCATCTCCATTCCTGACTCCTTGCTGAGATCGGGAACACATGTGATGTGGCCAAGCACTCACAAAAAAACCCAGGCAAGTACCCTGAGATGGGCGAAATAAGCCCGTCAATGCAAGAACCTCACACATCCACATCCAAACGTCCACGTCACGAGCCAGCCAGCGGAGAACGGGGGAACATCAACATGAACCATACCAAACGAGTCAGCCAAAGCCTCAGTTTCCCACGTCCAAGGTCCAACGAAGTGAACCCGGTCGCAAACCCCGGACCCAGGTCCGTACACACTACACAGCCAAAGCTTGGGTTCGATATACTCTCGCAGATAGAGTACCACACACACACACACACCCCACAAGCAACTCCATATGCCAACAAAGACATCAACAACTCACCAAAACAGCAAAATCAACATAAACACACAGAAATACTCGTAAAATAAACATGGGCGCCCATACTCCAGAATAGGCATCCTCCACGTCTCGCCTGACTCACGACATCAGACGGTCGCGATCCGAGCAAAACACAGATCTCACAACCTACGACCAGACTTCGCTCACACGGCGAACCGACCGAGGCAGGAGAGTTCACATGAGAAACGAGCCGAGCCAGCTGTGCTTTGCTTCACTGCACTGTGCTGACCTGAGCGAGGCAAGCATACAAGGCATGGCACAAAAACATCTAGGTTGTGTGGTTATGCTTCGTTAATACCTTGTATAATTCCCCGAGAAAATCACGCCCGCCCCTAAAACCATGTTCCATCTGAGGATATATCACGCCTTTAGTATTACATGCATAAGTAATAACCCACCCACCCCATCACCATGGAAAAAAATAGCAGACAGCCTATCCCCAACCCGCAACCCGCAAACGCGCGCAATGTGGAACCGAAACGTGGCCGGGAAATTTCCAAAATCATAAGTCGTGCTGTGTGCTGTGTTTCGCTGTTTTTCTTTTTCTGTTCATAAGATGACTCTCTCCTTCTCTGTCGTAAAGCATCACGCTACGGCCGCGTGTTCACCCTCGGGCTGGCCAGGCCACACATAGTTTCGCCATTCATGCACCCGGTTCACGCCGCGGCCAATGCCCGTGAGACCAGCGAGCGTCGACGACTTGGGCTCCTCTCGCATTCGTCTCCGGCTCCGTGGCGTGTGCGCGTGCGCCGCCGCCTCCATCTCGTAGTCTTGTATCATCCGCCCCGGCGTCACCCGCTCGGACGGCCGCATCGATCTGACGCTGTTGTATAACTCTTCTTCCATCGTGTGCCGCCTCAGCATCGGCATCGGGGGTGGCATCGGCGGCGGCGGGCCCATGGCCATGGGTCCCATCATGGGAGGTGGAGGACCCATGATGGGAGCCGTCATGGCCGCGAGCGGTGGCAGTGGCGGCGGCGCCATCATACCCGGCCGGGGGCCACCTGGACTCGAACGCGACTCGGAGAACCGCTCAGCCAATCGCTGCCCCAGCGGATCCTGGGGGAGGCCTCTCGCCCGGTTGACACCCGACATGTAGTCCGTCGGCGGCGGTCGCTCAAACGCCGTCGGCGGCGTCGGCGCAGGCGGTATGGGTGCGGATGCGAATACGTCAGAGTCTCTGCGATAGTCTTCGTTCATGAAGTGGCCCGCCGTGTTGCCGATGCCAACGAGGTCCCCATACCCTCGGTCATACGCGTCGTCGAGCTCGTACGTCTGCATCGTCCTCGCGAGGTCTTCGTCGCGGTTCTCTTGGAACCTCCGCATCAGTCTGTTATCGTACTCTTGGGAACGCGAACGAGGCGTCGTGTGCCCTACGCCGGTTGATCGGATGCTTCGCGCGCTTCTCGGGGTCTCGGTGCCCTGGTCTGGACGCTCTATTCGGCCCATCACTAACGGCCGATGCATCTCATTAAGCCGCTCCGCCTCGACCGTCTCGTAATTAAACCAAGGGCAATCACAGCTCTTCCATTTGGTGCCGCACACCATGCAAAATTGCGCTCCGCAAATGCTATCTCGCGTCAGCAGGAAATCCAGACCAAAGATCAAATATCAAAGACCGAAAACAATACATCAAAGGAAACTTACCACGTCATGTGGTTGCAGCCCTCCTTGAGCTCAACCATGTGACTGCACTTGTAGCACATCTTCCATCCCTCGTCTTTGGCGTGGTCCAGAAACCTCGTCGTCTCTTCATCGTTGGGACACTCCCTCGACGAGTGCCATTTGCCGTTGCAAGAGCAGCACACTTTGGTCTTGCACTGGCCGCACTTGGCGGATTGGCGACCTCCCCCTTCATTGCGAAAGTGTTGGGGTTTTATCCATGCGCCGCACTTTCTCGATGGGCAGTAGATGCGGTTGGCCGCCGTGAACTCTGAGAACTTTCTATTCCACTTCTTCTTGAACTCGGGCGTGAACAAGTGGTCCACGTGTTTCAAGGGTATGTTTGCGGCACAGCACTTTGGAGGCATCTGCTGCGGGTCTGTGATGGATAGTTTAAAGTGTCTCTTGAGGCACGCGTCACACAATCGATGGCCGCACTTGAGTTTTGCGATTCTACTCGGCTGGAACTCCTCCATACATACGAGACACTCGACTCTGGGCGATGTTAGCTGGTGCAGATGCACACCTGTAGACAACATACCTGGCTGCTGGCTTCTCTGACGAGCGGGAGACGGTGCTCCCCGTGAGCGCGTTTCCAACAAAAGTAGACGCCGGCCTATTCGACGAAGTCGTGCTTCGCGTGTGCGACGTGACATGCGATGCCCCCGATACGGTGTTGGAGCGGCGGATCGACCGCGTCTCTGGGTACACAACCTGAGACTGGTGTCTCCTGGAATGCCTACTGGGAGTCACGTCGAGACGACCCCTATCTGGAAGAATCTCGTACGCCAACCTTTTGGTGGCGCTGGGAGGCTGAGAGATTTCGTACGTCTTGGCCGACGAATGATGGCGGCTCAATCTCCTGACGGGACTATAGGAATGCTGTCTGGGGTAGTGTCTCTCGGATGCCGGACGCGACGAGGACGGGTGAGAGCGGTGCCGCGAGGACGAGCGGCTGAGGTCGCCCATAGACTGCCGCGGAGTAGGCTCCGTGGAGCCGTCCTCCTCCATGTAGATGATCTTTTTGATCTTTCTACGGCGCTTGGGTGTGTTGTCGGCTGACGGGGGCGTCCGCCGCTCGACGACGGTCTGAGCATGCCGTGCTGCCTTTTGGTACCTCTCCCGCTCCCGCGCCCTCCTTTCTCTTTCTCGCTGTGTCTCCCGCTTCTCTTCTTCGGATGAGTCACTCGTTTCCGAGTCCTCATCCGAATCCGACTCCGATTCAGACCGCGAATACCTCGACGACCGTCTCGACTCATAGACCGGCGGCCGCGTCCTCGAGTGATGGGCGGTGCTGCGGCTACGGTGTCGAATGGAAGACTGCTGCTGTCGCCGCCTAGCTAGGGGAGATTCCTCCTCCTCCTCCTCCTCACTGTCGTCTGACTCTTCCTCACTGTCGTCTTCCTCCTCGTCGTCGTACGTATTATAGCCATTGTCCACCGGGACCCTTCCCCTTCTATACGGAGCACCGGCCTTTGGGGTTCTGGGCATCGTGGCTCCTGGGGTGGGAGGCGCACTGCTGAGCTTTACGATTCTTCTGGGTGGTGGTCCCAAGGGTGAGGGCGAGCTCGTGCTGTCGGGCCCTTGTATAAAGTCTCTGGGTCTCCGGTAGGGCATCGGGTCGTAGGCGGACTCAGCAGCAGCGACGCTGGGGTGAGAGTTCATGTGAGGGTGAGGGATCGGGTGCCAATCATAGTCGGCCATTTGCGGCGGGTTGGGAGGATGCCGCCAACGGCTCGTTCTCCTGTGCAACTCTGCGCCATCTCGATAGGCCATTGGGCTGGAGCCAGCCTCATCCGGGAGTGCGACGAGTTTTGAGGGTGGTGGGAGAAAAGGGGAGCGGGAGCGGTAGCGGTAGCGGTAGCGGGAGTCGGGAGTCGGGAGTCGAGGGGGGACGTGTGGTGAGGGTCTCACGGCCTTGGATCTACAAGGTAGGCTTAGTGTCGAGAAAGGATGTGCTGTGTGTGCTGCGTACTGCGTGCACCCTGACAGCTGGTTGCTCGTGAGTGGGTGGTTTCAATGCATGCCGTGGAGCGGTGATTGGGTTTGGATGGCGGGTTGCATATCGGACATGCACATGCGGTGATATTGCGCGCCCTGCTTTTTTTTGTCTGTTCCTTTTTTCTTCTTCTCGTGAATGTGTCCTGCAACTGACGACAGCAAGCCGCGACTGGTTTGCCTCGTCTCTCTCGTCTTTGGTGCCCCTCGGTGAGGTATCAATCGGGCAGCAGCGGCAGCTGTTTGGTCGGACGGGGGAGACAGTGGATATCGACGTTTCGATGGATCACGGTTTGAAGGATCGGTTTAGTTGGATCGACCCATGTGCGAGAGGGCTGGCAGCTTTGACTTTGGAGCAAGGTCCAAGTGAGGTGAGGGAGAGGAAGAGAGAACAAGAGACGGTACGAAGTAAGGTAAAGAAAGCAGAGAGAGAAGAGTGAGGTTGGACGTTTGTGACAGCCCTGGCAAAGACTCACCTCCCAGGTACTCCGTACTCTGTACTCAGGTCTCAGGAGTCATTGGATTGGATTGCCCCGAAAGAGCTGCCGCTGGGAGGAACAGGGCGCCACCGAGGCACAGCGCAACCGATTGGCCCCTATTGCGGGCAGCGGGGAGCTTCACCTTTCCGCCTCCTTCATCTCTAGGTCTCTGTGCGGTTGTTCACTCATTCACATCCAATCCCACGTCTACAACGAGATCCAATTGTCTCTGCCTCTGCCCGCCTCGTGCTGCTCCATACCCTCTTCTGTTCTTTCTGTCTGACTCTGATCCCCCCCCTTGGATCCAGAGGAGCGGCCATGAAGTTTTCAGTTTTCAGTGTCCAGTTTGACCCGCCCTCGTGTTCAAATGGACCGGTCCGCTCGTTCGTCGCGTTCCAGCCTCCCACCACAAACCACGAGAGTCCCTGCACCACCCGGACACCAAAAACCCTCTCGCGTGTGTCCATACAAGCGTCTTACAGTCGTCCCAGCTAGCGGCCAGTCCGATGTGCGCCTACAGCGCGGGAGCGGCTGCCTCTTTGACAGCCCAAACCTAACCATGAGGCGAACCTAACCAGCCTAACGGAATGTGTGTGGGTGCACTGGCGGGAGGCTAGCGGGTGGTGCAGCGGTGCTGAGCCCTGTACTCAGCGTCCCTGCAGGGGACTGCCCGCCACCGTTTTCTCTCACCTCCCAGGCTCACAGTCTCACCTCAGCTACCTTACCTTACCTAAGCTCGCTAACTGCGCTGCACCTCGTACCTCAAGCGCGCTCACCGCAGCACCAGACCTGAAGCGCACGTGCCTCAGCCCTCGCATTCCACCCGTGACCGCCAGCCGTTCCACAGGGATCCCAGCCCGCGGCAGCGGTGCCGGCGCAGCACACGGACGCTGTGATTTGGCCGACAGTCTCATGTCGTGAAAGGGGGCCCGGGGGGGCCATGCACTGCAGTTAACATTGGCTATTCATGCGTGATCTTCTTCTTCATGAGGGTCTACAAACTCTCGTACCCTAATCACGAAAAATCCCCATCGGCTTCCTGCCCACTGCAGAGCATGCTGAAATTGGGGGTGTGCCTGATCCACTCTTTTCGGCCGGGCTACGAAAAAGTGTAGATCGGAGCTACCCACGGGGCCGATTGGCGCAGGTGGGGCCGACCCGGACCGTTGCACCCTCCATCTGGCATCTGCTTCCTCCCCCCCGAGTCATTGGCGTCTGCAGACCGCCTCGACACATTGTCCACTAACCGACTAGTTTTGCTTTTTGCTTTTTTTTCTGTGTCTTTTCGATCCTATTGATTCATTGATTCAGCCTTGGCTGGCGAATCGTCTTGGTTCTTTCCTAGACCATAAATCCACACCACCATGGCTCTACCAAACACCCGACCGCCTGCCTCAAGTCTCGTGTACGCGGCAGCCTCTCCATGGTTTCAAATCTCGCATGTGCCTCGATATCCTCCGACATCGCTGTCGTGCAACGCATCCCGCGCCAGATAAGGTAGGTAGGCAGAAAAGAAAAATTCAAGCGGCCTGGCGCCGGGCAGAAAAACGACACAAAACACCACAGACTCCCTCACTGCTTCGCACTCATCGCCATTCTGGAAACCCGGGCGGGACCCAGCCCGAAATCGATTGGTGGATCCATCCCGTCTTCTCCTTCCATCGCAGCCAAGAACCTCACCCCGTGACCCCGTCTGATGCAGCCCGATGGCCTCCCCTCCGATAGCCCCACCCCGCGCCGGCAGATGCGGCAACTCCTGAAAAGATGGGGCCCCATTGATGCGGTGCCATCCGGCCGCTACGGTGCCAATCCGGTATACACATCGGCGGCATATCAGCAAGGACATATATCAGAGCCTTCGATGCTCCCCCTTCTGGCGCTTGAGCGAGACACGGCACTGCGGACGAAAAAGATATGCACTTCTCAGAACCCCCACGTCTAAGCCATCATGATATTCAAGTTCAGCCTAGGTCGAATCCCGTGTGAGATAGACCTCCCATGCCTCGCTGGAATCTCAACCGCACGCAGCATCACGCGGACATGGACGAGGAAACAGCCACAGTACAGCCGCGTGACCGGAAGCCCCCCCTTTCGCTTTCGCGTACCTGACCTTGGGCATGCACCTCATTCACCTTGTTCCCCGCGGGGGTAGATTGGCCTTGCCTTACCTTACCCCGCATAGATGAGTCGTTGGGGTCGCGTCCCAGTGTACCAGTGAACGAATCGCAAGTTCCCGCGCAATCTAGGTCGAAACACATTGACCTTCTGCATTCAGGACGTTGCCGCGGTCGGGTGGTGTCGAGGTCGAGTTCAACCTCTGCAGCTGTAACGCAGGCCAGATGGTCACATTCGCATGTTCATGGATGCATAGATAATTGGGGCCGTCTTTCTCCCTCCAGGTACAGACAGGAAATGGGGTATTTCTTCATCGGCAGTGCTATGTTGTACAGTTACTATGTCACCACATCTCGGCAGCCCTGTTCTTTGGGAGCCAAGTCCCCGGGCCAGAGAAGTGTACTGTTCGTCCTCCCCAAAATGATCCATGGCCGGCTCGTATAGAACCGCCCAATGTATATTTCCAGAACCGCCCAAACCCGTACGCCCTGGAGCCGGTGATCCCAGCCACCTTCAGCGCTGCCACTGAGTACTACCTGTGAAGTGCTGCGACTGCGTGCTAATGACCACTCCGCCAGACTTGCCCTCTGTGAAAAGTGACAGCATCTCGCCTCTTCCTCTCTCTTTCTGTTCTCGGGGGTCGGCGGCAGAGCCATCTCGAAATGGGTTGGCGCCAGGCTGGCTCATTGGCTGTGTGGGTGGTCATGCCGGGATTTCGGTCCGAATACCGTGTAAGATCAAGTATTACCCGCCAACCAAGCCACGCCAATTCGCAGGGCGGCGTCCAACCCCCATTTCCAGATGGCGTGACCCCGGATTTCTGTCTGCACCCCAGATGGATGCCTCCACCGTTCAGTGTAGCTTTGCACGCGCGATGCTGCTGCGACTGTACACCTGCTTTCCCGGTCAAACGGGCGGCGGGGCACTCAACCCCAGAATCGTTCGCAGACAGGTCAGCAACGTGGAGCAGGAGACTACCGCGGGTCGCACTCTTGAGATGGGTGGCCCGCTGCAGACAACTAGATGCAATTCGAATAGGCGGGCGGGCCGAGCGGCTTTCAACCGCTCAGGTATGCCCTCCTTCGCACTTCGGCCTCTTTGATGATCTCGGCTGCCAGGCTCAGGCTCGGGGCCAGTGTCGAGTATCGCTCGATCTCCATGACCACATCGTTGATGATCTGATCGATGGTCTCCCTATGGGGAACGAGGGTGAGGAGGATACTGCTCAGAGAGGGTGACATGGTCGCACCCATGACCAGTAGCGTTTGCGATACAATGGAGAGCGCTCCCTGCCACAAGTACGGCATGTGTCCGGCGTGACTGCGGCGAGTTAGCGTCAAGACAAGAGCAATGATTCAGCACTTGGAACTTACTGTTGTGAAATGTGCTCCAGCTGCCGGATGGAGGCTTCTAGGCACTTGTGGCAACTGTCACGCACCGCGGGGTCCAGGACGGCCTGCTCATTGTCCAATACGGCCAAGATGTACGGGCGGTAGATGATCGTCCGGCAAGCAAAGAAGCGCAAGCGCAACACGGTCTGCACCGGATCGGAGAGGAGGGTGCGGGTGAAGGGGAACTGCAGCGGCATCGGCAGGCTCTCGTACCATTGCGTCAGCTGAAAGTCGAGCTCCGCCACCACCGGCTCCAGGCTGGTGGTGGAAGCCATCGAGTCTTTGGAATAGATTAGCTGGCTGACCCTGTTGAGGAGCCGCCGCAGGGCAATCTCGGCGAGGAAATACCAGAGGTCGTCTCGGCCAATCGCTTCTTGTTCCTCGCCCTCAAAGCCGCCAGGAAGGCCGACGTTCTCCTCAAATTGAACGACGCCCGAGTGTGGCAAATCCAGCTCGGCCAAAAGATCGCTCTCAAACAACAGCGAATTCCAGTAGATTCGCTCAGTCAGCTCCCGCTGATTGGGCGGGACTCTGTTGGGGGACATGAGCAAGAGCTGAAGTTTGGTGCTGGTGGTGCAGAGCAGGTTCCACGCCTCCAGGGGCCGCACCAAGTAAAATAGATAGGCCGAAGCCAGCAAGTGACACTGCGCCGCCAGAACGTTGTTAGATGTCATCATACCGGGCAGCAGCGCCCACGCGGCCGTGAAGTACTGCAGACCAGGGGCGTCCTCTCCCGGGACGATCCGTGAGATGCTGCCTCTCAAGCTCGCTTGACCCAGGGCCAGGACCAGCAAGACGATACAGCTCTCGGCGCCCTCGCGAAAGCCGTTGGAGAGGGCTGTTCGATAATGGCTTCTCCACGTGTACGGGTTGACGCAGGCGTACCAGACATTAACCCGCTCAAAGTAGGCCTCGATGTAGGCAGTCGTGTTGGACAGGTCGACACACGGCGTCTTTGTGAGCGAATGGAGAGGCTCGCGGGCCATTTCCAGCTGGAGGAGGACTTGGGGGTCATAGGGGCGAGAGACGAGGTCGCGGATGAGAGGCCACTGCAAAAGGTGAAGCGCCGCGTTCGTATGCATCTTGGGCATGGTTGATATGTTTGTCGGGTTGTTCCACGTGCCCAGGCCGCCGTTGGGGATGATGGAGACGGCGTTGCCCGAGCCTGGTATGCCCATCAAGCTGTCCCCATTAAGGCCTGATCCGTTGCTCATCGATGGCGACTCTTGGTTCATGGCGATGCCGTTTCCCTGCCCGGCAACCATGTTCATCTGCAGCAGGCTTTCAATACGGTTAAGGCGCTCGAGAATCAGCTTGTCCCCAGCATCCAGCTTAATGCCGGGTTCTCTGTAGACGCACTCGGCGCCCAGCTCGGCGCAGAGCTTACACTTTGGTTTTGTGCCATCGCAGCGAGACTTGCGGGAGCGACACACTTCACACTGTTGTTGGTCAGCTCACGGTGTCTACTGTTGAATCCAATTCACATACTGCAATGGTGGCTCTCCTCCGTGGGTAGTCGACGCCAACGTCCGTGTTCCTCCTCTTTAGCGGGTTGGACCCCTCGTCGCTGGGCGCCTTGTGCATGCCATTGGTCAGAGCATCGGGACGGTTCTCGGAGGACTGAGACATGTTCCGGGCCTTTTGCACGGGACCTAAGAAGCCATCTCTGCTGAAACTGGGCGTTCTTTGCACCTTGAGCGAGGCGGGCGACTTGAGAGGGTGGATGCCGTTGGTCATGGAAGGTGAGGGGACGTCGATGTTGAAGGCCTCGCGCGACGGGACGGGAAAAGACCTCCCCGCGTTACCGTTGCCCGTGGCCGAGCGCGGGGAGTCACCCGTCGACGACGGGGACATGGCGTGCTGCGTCTGGAGACGAAGAAGCTTGGTGGAAGACGTGGTGGGCAGATGGTGGTGCGCCGCGACAGCGCAGCTCAGGCGGGTGGATGGCTGAGTGAAGCGGCGACTGGGAGGGGCCGATGGCTAAATAGCTGCGATTGCGAGGCTGGATTTGACAAAGACCGGACCGATGCGATTAGGTTCGGCTGAACGGGGGGGGTGCGTGACTCGAGGCGAAAGGTGTCAGTCAGACCAGCCTCGAAGCTATCGAGGCGGCGTTTCACAGCTTCTTTGGGGGGTGCCGTATGAAAAGGGAGCAGACAACGGAACAGAGAAGAGATGAATGCACACGGCTGTGGAGCAGTAATTATGGGAGAATCACGGAGGCGGAGGAGGAAGGGGGGGGGGGGAGGGAAAATAAAATGCGGAGGAAGCAATCCTATGGCGTTGTTGGTGTCGGATGGCCAAGGATGGGCAGCAAGTCGCTGTTGAGGGTAAAAAGAGACAGTCGTCTGAGTACCTAGAGCAGAGTGCCCCCAGGTGAGCAGACGGGAGCTCTAGGCCAGCTTCATCCCCCTTTGCCCCGGACCCCGGCTTGGAGTCGTTGGAGCGAGAATCCATCGGATTGGTGCACCGTGACAGTTACCCCATCCCGCAGCGGCAGACATCAGGTCAGGCCAGGCCAACCAGAGCCGACGGTTGCAACGGGCATGGGACGAAACGGGCATGGGATGGGATGGGATTCGGGGAGAGGATGAGATGGGGAACAAGGGTCAACGGCGCACGCTAAGCAGAGGGGCCATCGCTTATACCTACAAAGTAAGGTAGTGGAAGAAGCACCATGGTGTGCTGCCGGTTTGTCCATGTTTGTCCACCGTGGATGGTGAGAAACATGTGTTCTTTGCGTTAACAACCTCATACCTTACCTACCTTAATTTGAAGTTGAATTTGGTACACAAAAGTATTGATCCGTGCCTTAATTCCGTTCCGAGCTTATGGCATTCATGGGGAAAGGGCCCTCCGTGTCGATCGGCCCTGCCAATCTGGGGGAGGGGCCGCAACTACCTTACAGAGTACATCGATAAAGTACCTTGAGTGTTTGACTTGAGGCAAGTGCTCCCCCCCAGAGCGGGGAGAACGTGAAAGTGCCTTCCTGCCTTATTTGGAGTAATTGAGGGTATCCCCTTCCTCTCGTCTGCGAGTTCTACAAGTACGGATACAAGTACCTCACAATACCTGGCTTACTAAGGGCAGTGGGCATTTCGAACCTCCCTCGTAATTTTACAAACTTCACACTGCAACCTCGTCCCATTATCCATGGCCACAACTCCATAATGAATGAAGCCCAATCCCGAGTCTCTTCCGCTGTCTGCCGTGTCCTTGTGTGGCCCCAGTCTCTCCGCCTGTACCTGCATGCCGACTCCCTTCGTCACGCTAACGGCTATTCGTACACTTTGACGAGACTTTGTCCAAGTAGGTGGCAGCATTCCTGCCAACCTCATTTCGCTCTCGCCACTTTACCAGGCTCGACTAATACCTCCGGATTCTAGAAATCCCTCGGGTCCAATCTAGACAACACCAGCTGTGCCGCTGTCAAAAGCTGAGGTTGCAAGAGATTGTCTCGCCATGTTCAGCAAGACCCTGCCATGGTGCTCAACAGAACTACAACGCCAGTCAGGTCATGAGGGGTGGTGGGCGAGAACCGCCGGAACGTAGATTAACCACCACCCCTCCAACACCCAAATCGGGACGCTTCTCCAAACAAGATTGACGAGCTCCCGCCTCGGTCCTCATGCGTCCATGGCCAGGGTTCACGAGCATACCATGTCACTGGTTAGCTGACTCTTGACGAAAGATGCATCGCATATGTGCACGCTTCAAAAGGAAGACAACGAAATCGACGTTTGGACTACTCTCTTAGACCAAGATCTATCAAGACGGTCCACGCTCCTATCTCGCGAGTTCGTCCCCGAAGAGAATCCGGGGTCGGACGGGCGAACGGCCGGCCGCTTCCCTGACACACCAGACATGGCGATGGATGCCCCACACCGTAAGTCCCTCCCGACTACCCGCTTCCGGGGTTCTAATTCGATACCAGACTTTGACACTCTGTAGTTTTGCTGCATGTCGACCGACCAGGCCAAGAAGCAGCATTCCTCTGCCGTGTCCGTCGGAACCTTTCTCGAGTTTATACCGGTTGACAACCCCAGGATCACGGTAGCATTGAACCAAACTTTATCGATGGCCTCTGTTCCGTCACTCAAAGTGCCAGCCGCGGACGAGCACCTTCTGGAGTGGAATAAGTCGAACTGAGTATTCTACCATTGATTTTCCCAAGGCTTAAGAGATGTACAGCACGGAATGCCTCAGCTTTTACAAGAAAGAAATGATCGTATCCCTCAAGCGCGTCATCAAGCAGAACGAACAATATGCACTCGCATTGCCTCAAGTGCCGGTCTGGATGATGCTATTCGCTGCCCTCTGACATTGCGTCGGCACTGATCCAAGTGTGACTTTCAATGTTGCGTTATCACCACTCCGCTCCCGCGACTCTGGTCTTGCGAGTTGACGTACACATCGGAACGCGCAGCCTCGCATGGACCTGGTATCTTCTCATCTAGACCTGCAGAATATGGCCCACCCGGGGATCCGAACTTTGCTCAAACGGGGTCAGCCATTTTGGGCACGTGGGCTTGCTTGCGAGCCGCCCCTCGGTTACCGGATTAGGAACCCGTCATCTTCCCGACTCGGTGTGCTGACCTACCTACGTGACCGAGGAGCGTTTATGGTTCACGACGCCCGCATAAGCGAACAGTGAGAGTTTTCAGGTGTGCCATTTCTGTACCATGGATCTCGAGCATGTCACAGGGGCACCACTGAGGTCATTACGGGTCCCCGGCTGCCTATACACTAATTTGATTTGATTGGTATCTAAGATCTACTCGCGGTATGCAATAAGTAACCCAGATGCAATATGCCGCTACGCTCATGCTAAACGCCTACTCATCAAAAATAACGGCAGTCACTTCGCCGTCCACCTTGGCGCTCGTGAGAATCTCTCCCAGCTTGCCCGACACAGCATCACGACTAATCACAACGACACGGCTGTCGGACTGCAGACCAACGGCCACGAGGTTGCCGGCCTTGCTGACGGAGAACTGGCGCGGGATGCGTCCGCCAGCGGGGAACTTTTGCAGCAGCGTAAGGCCGCCTGTCTTGGCGTCAATGGTGAAGGTGTTGAGCGAGTCGGACGGGATCTGGGCGCCCTCGCCGGGAGTGTCGGGGTTGCTGATACTGAATGCCGAGTCGTTGCGCGACGAGACGGTCAAGAACTTGCCGTCGGACTGTCTTTATTAGTATGTATCAAGACTTCATGCGGAAGAACGTCAACTCACAGAAATCCAGATCTCGGCAGCGCTAGCACCAGCAGGCGCAGAGGCACCGGCGCCGTAGGTGGAGCCGGAAAACACCTCAGTGAAGCTGAGTGTCTTATTCTCGCGGTAGGTGACGTCGTATGCGGTGACGGTGTTGGCAAGCTCGCTGATGAGATACAGGTACGTCTTGCCCTCGGGGGTGACGAGGAACTCGACATGACGAGGTCCGCTGCCGGGGGCGGCGACGAGGGAGTCGACGGCCGCGAGGTTGTTGGCGCCGTCAACAGCAAAAACGCGAACGAGATCGGCGCCCAGGTCGGGAACCAGCACAAACTGGCCCTTGGGGTCGAGGAAGACCTCGTGCGGGTGCGGGGCGTCCTGGCGCGACGGGTTGGGGCCGGGAGCCGACATGTTGAACGTCTCGGACTTGACTGCCGTGAGAGCCGCCGGGTTGGAGATGTCGAACCAGCTCACAGAGGAGCCGCCGCTGGCAAAGGTTAGCGCGTGCTCGTCATAACTAATATCGAGACATACTACTGAGCGATGGCGAGGCCTTGGCTCTTTTCGCCAAAGACAACGGCGCTCACGGGACCGCTGATGGTCTCTGTCTTGGCCAGCTGCTCCAGCGTACCGTCGGCGCCGGTCTTGAAGGACGAGACGGTGCCGACATTGGTGGTAAGACCCTCATCCGTGCAAAATAGCCTCGCGTTGGCCTTGTCGAGCTGGAGCCAGGATGGGCTGGGCGCGCAGCCGTTGGAAGAGGAGAGCGACTGCAGGGTGGACTGCGTGGCGTTTGTGCCTGACAAAGTGAGGTTCAGGGTGGTGATGGCGCCGCTGTACGACGAGGCGTAGAGGAGGGTGGCGGCCGCCGGAGAGGAGAGCAGCAGCGGCACGAGGCCGGCCGGCGCAAAGAGGTCTCGCAACATGCTGGGCAAATACTGGACGACGAACGAATGTCGGTGTTGGCAAAACTGCTGCACGGCGAAAACGAGGCACGGAACGAGTGTGACGACGGTGACGAGTGCGGGCACGGGACGGAGAAGAAAAGAACGACGACGACGAGGTCTTGAACTTGAGGAGCGAAGACGGCCCATTTTCGCGTAAGACCCCTCAAGGTCCCAGGGGCAAGGACGGGAGTACTCCTCTGAATGTGTCAACGATTGTCGCCCATCGACCTTGGTTCCCCGGTCATGCGCTCACTGCCTTGGTAAAGCTGGGACCTGGGCTGCGTGGACTTCGAAACGGGACCCGGTTGCCTGTTTGGGACGGCGAACGGGATTCTTCCGTGCTTCTGCGGCTAACCTTAATGCCTACAGAGTACAGACTTCACAGCGTACGGAGTACAGACACTACGGCGGAGTAGTCGGAGTGCGGTGGTGCGGACACTTTCCAGAAGGCAGGCTCAACCCTGAAGCGACGTTAGCAAGGTGATGGCCTTCCCCTGTAATGAAAACGTCCGGCCAGGGGTGGTTCACGGTATTTTCGTCTGGTACGATGATAGAGTTTGTCAGGGAGATTCAGGTTGAGTGGTACCTCGAGACACCCGCCCCTTTCTGCTCCTGTGCAATGTACTGGCAATATGCCACCGAAGGACCAGACAGCTTCCCGCAGCACACAACTCGGCGAACCGCTCTCTCGTCTTTGGATGGCAAATGTTCGTGTCACACAAACTCTGAGAAAAAAGGGTGTCGAGTTCGAGGTGGAGAAGGTTACTTTGACTTCCACTCGTGTGCCGATGCGGAGAATGTGGAGAAAAGAGGAGGAGGAGGAGTCCAAAAGGACTGGAGGAGGCGGAGAGGTGAGGGGGAACCGCGGAGATGCAGTTGGCCAATCGGCGCCGCTTGTTGCTTGTCTGTGGGTTTCCGGTACGTCGAGGCTCTTTCGTTCGTGGGGTTCAGAGAAATTTCCCAATTTGCGGTAATTTATGAAGCCGTCCCCAGTACGGGAGACGGTGAACACTGACCACCGCAGGCACGGGACGATGCCGGCGCCCGGTGAGGTCTTGGTCTAGCGTGGCATCACTCAAATCACGGATACACTACATCACCAAAAGTCAAACCCCCTCGTCTGCCATCCGACCGAGCCGTCCGGCAGTCAAACGACCGTGCGCCTCTGCATCGAACCTCGAGTGACGCTTCGCCAATCACCTTCATATCGGATCTCAACTGGCCAGAATGCAAGCTCGCATCATGATGTGCCATGTGGCCTCCCCCGCACTCCAATGCAAGCCACGGCCAACCTTGTCTTATTCTGGCGTTGCCTCCGGCTTGCCGTTTGTGAACTGCGGGATCGTCCTCGCACAGAAGCTTACTCTTATTCTGCATGTCTAGGTCTGCCATGTGCCGGGCCATGTGCACGACACGGTGCCTGGATTTACAGGGACGACTATAATGTCGAACGACGTACGTGGACGGCCACCAGAATGCGATGACACCGATTGACGATGCGTGTCATGGGCAACCATCACTTCACGGCTCTTTGGCACACATGGGCGCTGTACCATGACGGCGTGGACATTACGAACTGAGCAAGCAATACTCAAGGTCTCCCATTCTTGGAGTGACATCGATAACGCGCTTACGAGCCCAGACTATAGCTTCATGCGGGGGGCGTAGCATTGTCCCCCATACTTTACCAGCCCAACACCGGTACCGCCTCTTCTTTGCCTAAACTCGAAGCCAATCGAATCTGCGAGAGAGGGTCATCTTGTGGGTGGTTGTGCACGACTCACCTCAGGGCCGTGAGCATCAGGAATGCCAGGCCGTCCTTCCGTGCCGTGTCTCTCGCGGGGGCTCTCCTACTTGCTGTGCCGTGAGACTGTCAATCTTTGCGTACCAAAAGTGTTGCGAAAACAATCGCTGCAGCGCGGTCACTGTTATTTTCTCTTTCTCAGGCTAAGGTAACTCACGGACGCCCATCCACACGCTCTTGTTTCCCGTCCTCGATTCCTGTTCGTTGCGCCGGGGGATCCGGTCGCCTCTCGGGCCAAGGAGAACCGACGTGCATAATACCAAGTCATCAATCTGAATGTGTGCGCCAACTTTTTCCTCCCAATGTTCCAGTGCGGTGTACGGATCACGAGCATAAGACCTAACGAATCATGCGAGCTTAGGCCTTCTCAAAGGTCGTAGGAGTGCTGTTTCCCTTGGAGTGAGACAGACTGTAAGGTGCCTATGTAATGTCAGTTCGTATCATATAGACAAAAATGGATCACTCACCAGAACCTGCTTGGCGTTGCAGATTCGCCAGGCCATCTTCTTGACGTTGCCGTCGGCGGGCACGATGGCAGGGGCGAACTCGATACCAAACATTTGGTGGATGGCGTAGACGATTCTCTTGGCATACTTGCCATCCCGCTCGACGTGGCCGCCAAAGGGCTCGTCAACGGTGGTGGGCGCGATGTCGTGGTCACGGTCACAGCAGTTTTGCACAAGAGGCAGCAAGGCTTGCTCGACGGCCTTTTCGTACATGCCGTTGGCGTCAACCTCGACATCGTCCTCGTCGAATTTGCCGATGCGGATCTCAAATGGCTGGGAGATGGTCATGACGTGATGGTTGCCGGCGTGGTGGTAGCGGAACTCAAAGACGCCCTGAGTCCACCAGAGCCGATCGCCCTCAAAAGTGACCTCGCCCTCAACAATGTCGGGATCCGAGGCGTCCTGCTTCTGAGCCGGCCGATCGGGAACCAAGATGGCCTTGTCGGCGGTGGCCGCATCGTAGCTGCCGGGCGTGGTAGGCACCCATCGGCCCAGAGACGACACCTCGGTCGCTTCTCTAGAGCGGTTATCGGTAACCATGTAGAGACCAATCCAGTCCTTGCTGTCGTGCTTCGCGGGAGCGCGCCACTTGACCTTCAACGGGGCGCCATACTCAAAGATCATGGTCTCGACACCGCGTTGGAATCGCGCCGTCAGACCCTCCTTGCCCGTGGCGCGCTCGTTGGCCGCCGACAGGCTTGAGGGTGTGCCTTCCACAGAAAGCGAGTAGAGCTTAGGGTCCAGGCCAGCGAGATCCGGAGACAGGCGCGTGACTGTCAGGCGAGCCGGGTACTTGTTGAACAGGGCCGAGGTGTCGCGGACGATTGTCTTGATACCGGAAGCGAACTTTGGGCGCGCGGTATCGAGGAACTCCTCAATGAACTGTGCCGTGTCATCAATCACCTTGTCGACACCGCGCTGCCAGCCCTGAACGGGCGGCGGCAGAGAACGTTTGATAAACTTGGTCAGGCCGGCTTCTTGACGAATGCCGCGACCATACGTCTTTTGCATGTGCGGCTTTTCGATAAAGTTGATGAAGCCCAACGTAAACAGCTGGCTGACGAGAGCCATGACGAAGATGGCTCTGCTCCATGTAATGAGGGCAGAACCCCAGAGGCCAGCAGTGCCAAAAATGCGCTCGGGGTTGTTGAGGAAGCGGTAGATGGACTTATACGTCAATCTGGCGGTGGAGTCGTAAAAGAAGTCACCGTAGAACCAGCCAAACTCGCCGAGGGAGTCGTACACGCTGATGAATGTCCAGACCTGGAGGGAGACGAGGCCGGCTCCGACCACGTGCTTGAGGAGGACCCAGCCGTACGCCCAGTCTTCTGGCGGCGAGTACATTTTCCAGCACGCGGCGATGAAGGATCCCGTGCACATGACGGAGCTCAGATGGTACATGCCCTTCCACTGATTCCAGGCCTCGGTGTGGCTCTCGCCGTACTTGAGAAAATGTCTCGTCCAGAACTTATTGCGGGACTGCCACGCGAGAATGGCACCCAGGCCAAGGTGGTACCACACGCGCCAGAACAGAGCATGCAGCAAGAACAAAACTTGGTACAGCGACGTCGACGGGGTCACAATGGTCAGGACGGCCATATAGAAGCCAAGCAGCAGAACCGAGGTGTCTGTGATGCGGAACAGGTCGAGGTTGTTCAAGCCAATCAGGTTGTGCACCTGCGCAGGCGCCTCGGGCGACGACTCCTGGGCCGTGGCGGCCTGGTCAACCAGAATGTCATCATTGTCCGACGATTTGATGGCGACGAGCTCCGGCTGGCCGGTAAGCGGTGTCGAGGCAGTGCGCTTACGCGGGGCAGGCGGGTTATACGTCTTCTCAATGTGCGGGTTCTCAACAACGACGAGGAAGGCGAACTGGGCGAGATGGGCAATGATTGAGATGAAGAGGACCTCGTAGCTCGCAGCCATCATGGAGATACCGTAGTAACCGGCATAGCCAATGGAGTACATGGGGTGCGGGGCCATCTCAAAGACGCCGTCAAAGGTCAGCTCCTGGTCGACGAGGTAGAAAAAGTCACCCCAGTACCAAGCGTAGTCCTTGACGACGCGGTGGGCGTCCAGCTTGACCCAGAGATTGAAGAGGACCAAGAGGATGCCGATGGACCATCGTCCAACACCGACAAAGGGATTCTCGCCGGCGGGTGTGTGACCGCAGATCACGGCGAAGAGGCAGTAGGAGACAAAGTCACACATCAGGATCAGATCGACGACACGTCGGAAGACTAGCCAGGTGTTGTACTCCATGGGAGCTTTCTCGAACTCGTAGTCCTCGGGGATCTTGGCCTCGAGCTCACGCTTCAACATGTTGTAGAGCCAAGGGCGGGGTTGTTTTCCCGACGAGGGGTGCTCAAAGAGCTTCCATCTCGCGGCCCACGTCTCCAGCCTGCGGTGGTTGGACTGGATGGTGAGGAGGTATCCAATGCCAATGTTGTACGAGGCGCGCCAGAAGAGGAAGACGAGCGCAAACAAGGGTCGCTTGAGGTTGCCGGGCACAAAATAGGCCGCAACAATCTGGAGGGCGAGGATGGCCAAGACGAGCACATCAGAGAGGTTCTTGGGCTGTCTCGGATCGAGCAGCTGCGACACCATGTCGTGCGTGGTGGGGACGGTGAAGACTAGGCGATCGTCAGCCGACAATAACTACAGCGCAT